TCCATAAGTTTGAGTATATCCCTTAGCTACCAACCAGGCCTTATATCTCTCAAGCGATCCATCTGTTTTATACTTAACAGTGAACACCCATTTACATCCTACTAGTCTATTTCCCTAGGGTTGTTCCACTAATTCCCAAGTGTTATTTTTCTCAAGCTTCCATTTCAACCCTCATAGCATCTCTCCATTCCTTATGACCTAAGTCGTCAAGCATAGTTCTGGGAATTGTTATAGTGCTCACATGTGTAAGAAAGGTTTTGTGATTACGTGATAATTTTTCATATGAAACAAAGTGAGATAATGGATATAGTGAATTTGGGTGTATTTTCTTGTGCCTTTCCTAAGAGCAATGGGAAGACGATCACTAGCATCATGAGAGTTAGAAGTAATTACCTCATTACTAGGAGTTGGTTCATAATCTTGAGTATGCATAGGTTGAACCAACAATGGGCAAGTAGAGCTCTGAACCTGATTGTCTTTTTCCAAAGTTTGTGTTTTTGATGTAGGAGTACAAGGTGGCTCGAATTTAGTAGAAACAGGGGCTGAAACAGAATTTGGAATACTAGATTTTTTAGGGATTGGAGGAGGACATGAGGGAATGGGAGAATCTAGTACTAGTAAAAATAAGTCATTGTCCTTATCTTCAATATACGTTGTCTCGTCCTGAAGATAAGGTTGTGGAAATTAACTATCTATTTCAACAAATGTTACATCGGCTGACACATAGAACTTTCGAGTTGGAGGATGATAACACTTGTATCCCTTAAAAGGTCAACCTTATTAAGAGGAGTAACCTAAACTCTTATAAATTGGTCTATGTTTTCATCTTTATTCGATGTGATATTTTATCTCTTAACATGGCTTCGCAAGATGGCGGCTTGTTTGAGCAGATCAATCTTGAAATCTGTGTGCTCAATTTTTTAAAGTCTTAATCGGATCAAATTTCTCGTTGGAGCTTAACGAACTCTGATACCTTGTTAAGATTTGAGGTTCTATCTTAAAATGTCACCCTTATTAAGAGAAGTAGTCCAAACTCTTATAAATTGGTATATACTTTCATCTTTATTCGATGTGTGATTTTATCCTTTAACATGTCCCCGCAAGACAGTGGCTCTTTTGAGCATACTAATCTTGAAATCTACGTGCTCAATTTTTTTGAGTTTTAATCGGAACGGGCTCTGATACCATATGAAGAATTATTCTTATTCATAATAATGATGTACAATCTCTAAATTTATACTCTTATTGAGAATAAATAAAATTGGAAACTATCCTAACTTAAATCCCCTTAAGTAAGGGACTGTGATATTCATTTAATGAGGGATTGTCACTTCTCC